TGCAGCGTGCGGTATCTAAATTGGGAGGCGGTAGCTGTGTTGAGCATCCACCCAGACCAGAGTCAATTCGGTAGGTCTCGGACCGCGAACCAAGGACAGTAGAAAAATGGTCCGATTATTAGCCGAGGCGTTGTAGATTCTAGATGATCTGGAACTTCGTGTAACGATAGGGATCGCGGAGTCGAAGTCAACGAGAAACGTAATTAAAAAAGCAGATGGCTTTTAAAGGGTTTCAGAAATAAAGTCAACAACAAAATACATCGAGTATCGGCTAATCCTCGGAAGGAGGTGCTAGTGGAACCAGTGGTAATCGAAGAAGCTACCAAGGAAGTGATACTGCCGGTCCGTTGACAGTGCAGGCCGTTAGCCTATTGGGCCATGCGCGCCGTATCATGGAAGCAGAATTTTCCGCTTGATCATGTGGATAAACATGATAATTATTACCATAAATGTTTTATGCCCCGGCCTTATTAGTCCACGCCCGGTTTATGCCGGCGTCTTCTCGTACGTAAGACGTTGTTCCCCCATCAGTTGCTGTTCATCTACGTTACAACAGATATAATACGCCTGTTCGACAGCCTAGTATTATCGCACGGGCGAATTAGAATTAACAACTCTTTCGGCCTTGTCTGGAAAGTGAGCTCTTTCCGATAGTCGTCCATACGCGATAGACGTACCATTGTATCTGCTGTTATGATTTGCAATAGTTAATCAGATATTATACACTGTTCGACTATGTAATTATTAGATATTCTATAGAATTGTGCACTTATTCTAGGAGTAAACACGATGGTCAATTAGACAACTTCGTTTATGTTTCTCAACTCTACGTACGATGCATATGTTTCTGGACCGTACAGGTCATGACGCATCGTGCCGATGACAATACATATATAATTGCCCATATGATTTACCCACGGATGCGCGTATCTAGACAATCAGTTACTACACGTCTATTGTCGTTCATTCATTCGTTACGTCATACGGGCTATTCACTATCATGAATATATTTGTTTGAGGTGCGGGAATTCGAGGAGATCGGTAAAAAACGAAACCTTCCCAAACTCACATCGTTAATCTTCTCTAATCACCGTCACCGCTTCATTTAGCAAAGTGACCATCAACCAAAAAGTGTTCAACCTCTAAAAGGCAGCTACCTCATCAGCTGATGGTAAAGTTTTAGGAACCTCAACGAGCAATCGTGGATCCTATGTACATGCACAATGTTATTAGTAAAATAGAGGAGCACGTGGATAGATTGATGCGTCGATATCGCCGTCTACCTGATTATAGCTTGCTACTATGTTATGACTTTGCTGGTCAATGTCAGCTACAAGTCGCGCGGTCCAACATGTTACTAAGTTTGTGTTATAGCCACAGAATTGCTTTGAAATACGCCGTCAGCTGGAAGGTGTTTGTACGAATACACACACACACACACACATATACACAAATTTGTAACCTGTAAGACGACTTAGTAAGCTGCTCTTCCAGCTTTTATGCGAAGCAGCATTGAACATTGTGAAACAAAAAAAAAGATGTTTACTTATATAAGTAAACATCTTTCAAGGTAGAGATAAAGATTTCTATAATGATTTAAAAAATATTTAAAACAATGACATACTTTAAACAATTAGATCTGAATCTTTTTAGCAGACTTAGGGGTTAAATTTCATATAAAATTAGAGCTTTGAAATAGTGGCAGGTTAGGGCAAATCGGCAGGCCAGCATCGTATCTGCTCGCATTTAGATTTGACAAATGGCGTCATAGCGACTGCAATGAAAGCGGTATGTAACTGATGATAAGCAAAAAACGCCACGTGAACAGCTCGGCTCGTCCTTGTACAATAAGCAATTTTGTATATATATATATATATATATATATATATATATGTATATAAATAACATATACGCATATGAATCATCGTATGACCGCCTACCGTATATGTGTGAAGCGTAATTTCGTCACATGATATTCTGAAGAGGGGCTATGTCTCGGTCAAGTAGCACGTATTATCTATCAACCTCTAGCCATTCCATCATGATTATTATCATCGTCGTCGTTGTCGTGTGTGTTTTGTGACTCCTCCCTGTCGGGAAGCGACAGATGGGTCCGCCGCGTCTAACGAAGTGCCGAACCTAGGGAACTGCGAACGCAGACTTTGATACGTTACATTTTTCCATTGCTGCTGCTGCTGCTGCTACCGCTGACGTTATTTTTGATGATGATGAGACTGGTCATAGCGATGGTGCTGCCCTCTGTCGTTGATTCGTGCCGGGCTGTTCACGTCGCAAGCGCACTACGCCGCACCATCGAAAACTTTTCTATACTGGTACTAGTGAAATAGACAAGATAGCCGCGCTATGTATTGGCCGAAACAAGCGCCAAGTATAGGCACTGCTAATATTGATTATATATGAGTGTAGTGTTCGTTGAGAGAGATTCAAAGACTCTAGGTCCGCCGCCTTCCGTAGTTGTAAAGCTCGGGCTCACGACCATGCAGGCGCATCTGAGGTTCAATGGAATTAAACGGCATGGTACGATAGGTGGGATTTCTTAGGCGCCCGATCCCAGATAGTACATGTTATCATTAACGCTAACAGTTAAAGTAGGCGTTTCGTCTAATTTTGCCTGTAACAAACAAACTTTCGAATCTAGCCATAAGTGGAAAATAATAATGCCTTGATGTATATAGCCGGTTCGACGTATAAAATTGCGCCTTTTTACATCGGCGACATTTATTCGTGGGTTAAATTGCGCTTCATCGGATGCTGAGCACAGCGAGCTTGATGAGTACACTTTTATTTAGTGGAATATTTGTACCGTATTGAAGACATTCGCCACACCTAATTCCGACTTCAATGTGTCCTTCAATGTGTCTTTCAGGGGTCTTTGGTCTATGACAGCGTCAACTGTCCTACGCAACAACAGGATGAGTTCAAAAAGCCTCTATCAACAGCTTTAACAGAATCAAACAGAAGTTGCATTGAACTGTTGTGACGGGGTTTACGATACACGACTAATCACCGCCCTTTAAACCGTCTTCCAAGTAGTCACTGTTCAAAACAGCAATTATTCGAGAAAACTTAATTTTCACATGTATCTTTTATGCTTTTCAATAAGCCCCGACTGCATATTACCATATATTGTTGCTCGTCTGCTCATACGGCGTGCGAAAATACACAGAACGAATAGTTTTCGAACTTTAAGCTAAATTTTATGGAGCACAGGCAAACCAAGCGTGATCCGCGAGATTCATCGGCAATCCGCCTACAAGCGTATATATCAAAACAAGATCAACTACTATAACGATGTTATTATTATTATTATAAGGAAAGCGCCAGCACTCAACATTTGTTGTTATGCTACAGCCGACCGGTTTGAGAAAATAGAAGCTTCGATGCGATAGAGTAAGTTTACGTTAATGAGTTTTAGTGGCATTTTCAACTTTTTCAATTGTTCGATCATCGATGGCGTGCATGCAATCCCACATTTAGAAATGATCAGTCGGACACGACTGCTGCTAGCGCCAGAAGAAGCTAGCGCACGCACTACCCTGAAGTGATTGGGGCAATAGAGAAAAGCGTGGGCCAAAATATCAGGACTAAAGTACCGTGTTGTGGTTCGGCAGGACTGTGAGTTAGCAACTAAAAGGTCGCCGATCTGGGCCAAACTCTGTCATCGCTGGGGTCGTGGTGGGGCCCAGAGCCCAAACACGACAACATCGAATAGGTTGGTGCCGTTACTGCTTATTGCTTACTGCGACAGTACACTCACACGGTTGGTGGGCGCCGAAGTGGGGGAAACGAAGAACAGCCTTTGGCGAAAGGCTCAACAAGCGGTAGCTATTGAACGTCACAGCGTTCTTACTGCACCAAACAGTAGCAGTAACTGCAACATCAAGCCAGTATCATTCTGTACGGCGAAAGGCTACCAGCCTCTTGAGGCCTACGGGAGCATATAGAAGACCTCAGTGAGACTAAACGAAGCTTGCCAGGCTACAAGACTGTTGTTGCAGTGATAACGACAGCGAAAGTTTATTTGTTTGTCGTAACGGTGTGCCTTGATTTCATCGCTCCCGACTTTTCGGTAACGTTTTCTAGTATTCTGTTCCAACCCAGGCTTCTCTGACCAGCCTAAATCTTAAAAATTACGTATCGCAATCAGAAAAGCTACGCTCGTGGGAGAAACTTCAAGATATGCGACCCAACATCAGTAGATGGCACGGAACTGATCTCATTGTTGGAAGGTGAAAGCTTTTTTCGAAGACGCCTGATTACGCGGCAGAAGACACGAGGGAATTTTTACGAAAATCAGCTTTAGGTCCAAGTTTTACGGCACGCAATAGTACAACGAAAAAAAAATAGATATGTTTTAGTCAGCGCTGAACATCTGTGGGAAGACTAGCGATCAGAAACGATACTGAGAAGTACAAAATACAGGATACAAGGAGGCGGAGAAATATAAATAATAAGCGAATCAAAAATAGGTCAACCGATGTGTTTATGTGTTCCACTAGAACAGGCAGACAAACAAAAACGGTTCAAAGCCCTCATCTCTACTATAGAGCATGACTTACGTGACTTGACCGATGCATGCTGTTTCATATACCTGCATGCTTGTAATCGTCCGTATTACCCTTATATGCAACAAGACTATATAACAGATGAATACACAAGTTATGCTGATAGAGCCGAAGCTTGCAGACGACTACACAGAATCATTGTTGCAGCTGCAAAGTAAAGCTGCTACAGCCATGGATTGAATTCGTAACGTCCCATCTTTCTCTCCGCCATCCTGTATAGCTCGCATTTTAGGTTGTCGGACTCACCGCCGCCGCCGCCGCCACTGCGTCCCAAACAGCTGTATCTTGCTAGGCCATTCAGAGAAAGGATACGGGACGAGGACAGTTACGTGGAAGATTTAACCTGGCTATTGTTGAAGCACCACCGCCGCGTCCAGAATACCGCTGCGATTACGGAAAACAAGTTGCTGCTGGAAGATTCAAGGCCAACGAGTCAGGCGGCGAAACACATAACGCACACGTTGGCAAGTGATGACGAACGTGAGCCTGAACTCGGCAGATGGCTAGAGAGAGAGAGAGAGAGAGAGAATAAGATAGAAAAAAAAAACAAAGCGTTACACCGCGTCAAAGTAGTCTCACATGGTGCTGGAACTTCTTAAAACAACTTCATCTTCTTTGTCTCTATGTTGGTTGAAATTAACAAAATTTTCACTATCATCGTCGACGTGTTCTCGTCCACTCAGCTCACGCGCTCACGTTGTTTGGTTGGCCAATGTAAACGGCCCCCAAATTGGCCGTAGGATAGACGACAACGGGACACAAATTATCGTACCTAGCAATTGAAAAGAGGCGACCAAAATAACTGAAAATTTGTCAAGAACTTGTGTCGTTCAAGCTGCGCTGAACCCAATAACGAGTCATTGTTTTTGTTGTTATGATTATTATTATAGTCAGTGGCTGTGGCTATTGAATGTCGAGTACGTGGGCCATTGACGGCCACTTTACTGTAGCCGCTGTGGTCGGCTGCACCATATCTAAGCGAAAGCGTGGCCGCTTAGCTGTCGCCACCTATCGCTTACCTACCCACAACCTGTAACGTACCCATCTCCATCGTAACAAGCGGCAACATCATTATTACTACCACCATCACAGTGACAGCAGCAACAGTCGCCGCGGTGATCATATCCGAACAATTATCGACCGGCGACATTGGTTGCGTCCACGCGCAAGCCGGACTTTCCTTGGCTTGGTTTTCTGGAAGTGAAGGAAATCAAAAAAAGAACAAGAGGCAACTGTAACGCTAGTAACAGGCCCACAGTCGCCTAACCCTACCAGTACTGCTGCCCCACGCATAATACTACACGCATATATATATATATATATATATATGGTAGAAAATTTCGTCGGCGCTTTCTTGCCTCGATTGCATTTCCGTCTTGATGAAACGCCAGAACATTCGAACGCTCTCTTTAATCGTATGCACCCTCACTTATCTGCTCGTGGGGGCAGCCATCTTCGACGCCCTGGAGAGCGATTATGAAGTCAAGCGAAAAAATACGTTGACATATATTGAGAAGGTAAGTCGCTAGATTGAACAACGTATAGTTTATCACCTCTTGCATTTTATTAGGTACCTTGTTTGTTAAGCTTTATTTCACGCTCTCTCAACAACCCATTTAACAACTATCCAATTAGCGAAAAATTGCTCAATTTATGTTGTCAGGAGGTCCCTTGTAGAGACACTTATAACCTAGACACGCAAATATGGCTGAGTAAGCAACGTCATAGCATCCAAGAACTTCAGCAAAACGTCTGTACTCGCGAGGTTCGGAATCAGTAGGAAATACAATCAAGACTATGCATTTCTAGCTTGATGCATGATTAGGGCACAACAGAAGCATGGACTTAGTTACCCCGTATATGTATGGGTCTTGAAGATATGCACAAAGCTTCAACGCATAATTCAGCTGGCGATCGAATATCAAAACGATCTCACCATATGAACGGAAATTGATGCTTTCAGATGCTGATGGATAAATATAACATTTCTGAAACGGATGCCAAGATTTGGCAAACAGTTATGGTGAAAACGGCCAATCGTGCGGTTCGTCAGTGGAAGTTTACCGGGGCTTTCTATTTTGCTACAACAGTGCTAAGCACAATTGGTAAGTGATTGATGAGTGTATCAACGAGGCAGAAATTGTTAATTTCTGTTTGGCCTCCTCTTCCCTGAAAATAGTCTTCAATTAATGAACGGGCAAACTGTTGTCTAGGGACCAATTTCTTTCTCGTGTGAGATCTATGAAAGAAATGTCCTGGGCTTTCTTCATACCGGGTCCTTTAACAGCTTTCAGCAGAAGACGACAACTTCCGACTGTGATAGAGACTCGACTGAGAAAAGTAGAAAGCGCGTTGTCGACGAAGTCGTTGATGGTTTAAACCAACCTACGGTCGCTATATGTACATCTCTGTAGAAACGAAATTTGGCTGGATTGACATAAGTTGACGTCTAAGTAAGTTTATGTCGTTCCGCTCGATGATGTTACAAGGTGAAGTTAATTTGGAGGCTAGGTAGAGCTGTGCATTGCATGACTGTATACCACCGTCACGAGTGCTATACTTCAAGCCTCAAAGTGGAACTGCGCTAATGCTGGTACCGTCTGAGACAGAGCTGTGGGCAGTATTTTCTGGGATATTTTCGAAGTTCAGATTTTTTTCCAGCACAAAAGTTAGGGGTATCCATGAATATTGTTCAAGTATAGTTGAATCTGAAGGAACGAGCGATAATTATCTACGATTGTGATCGACAATCGGTACGATTATGCGGGACTTACTAAGCGAGCTAGTTACGTCCCCAAGAACATATAGCGTTTTGCTTATAAACATAGTTATGAATTTTCGCGCCACAACATTAAGGAAAGGTCGCCATTTAGGTACTATGCATTGACAAATTAGACTTAAATAGACAAATCAAATGTGTGATCCGTCTCGCTTTTTTCACCGCGGTACGACAGTGCACTAAACTATGCAGTGATATCGGATCGTTTCATATTATTACATTTATCGATCGTTCACTCTTCGAACTATGGCAAAGTACGCGAGTATAAAAGAGGCTTCGTCATCCGTTGCTCTCGGAATGTATTCCTGCCTGTGGTAGTCATTAACTGTCTAAGGCTAGCACCATTTGTTTTGGAGGTAACAGCCTTCGAACCCTAATTGATGAAATCTTCATCGTCGTTGATGACCAGCGATCCGCTCATGGTTATTATAATAACAATCAATAGTTAATCAGAAAAAAAAAACTACCTTAGCGGGATATTTTTTATCACTGTAACTAGGAATCGTGCACCTACCGGCGTTCTTACGAGGTGGGAGAGAATCAATCGAACCAGACCTCATAAGTGCAGCAAGATACTGCTGGGTTATCCTTCTATATTAAACGATTATCATCAGTCTAACAATACTACTCTATGTACTGGTCGGATAAGGCAAGGGCGAAACAGAGATATTAATGTTGTTAGAAAGCATTTTTTTTTTTGTTGCGAAAACTTTTCATTGGAACTTCGACTGATTACGGTCCATCAATTTTTCTAACGAAACTCACCTATTAGCTAGACACAGCATGTTCGAGATACTTGTACGGTGAGCATTTATGCTGCTACAACAAGCTCTGCTTGATCTTTTCAGGATACGGACATTCTACGCCTGCCACGTGGGGTGGCAAAACTTTTTGTATGTTTTACGCACTTGTGGGCATTCCGCTCGGCCTGGTCATGTTTCAGAGCATTGGAGAGCGTCTAAATACGTTTGTCGGATACCTGCTTAAGCATGCCAAGAAGTGCGCAAGGTAAGCACCTAACACTTTGCAGAACGGAAATAGTATACTCTATCCGCGTATTACGTTATACCGAACTTAAAATACGACCTTCGTTTTTGCATACATTTTTTTCTTCGATCTCAACTATTGATTTATAGCTAGATATTTTTTCTACGTGACCGCATACGCCGTCCTTCCGATAATTTACGGTAGCTTCTAGCTTCTAACTCGTAGCAAATTGCTGTGGCATCCTCTAGCAGCATTATATATCGTTACTTCTCCGTCGTCTACGTCGCCGTTTGCTAGCCACAACGAAATGAATATACATAAGGCGTACCTTGAGCGTGGTAAACCGCATGTAAGCCAGCGTAAAATGTAATATGCATTCTTGCGACATAAGAGTGTTGCCGTTATGCTCGTTTTCGTTACCCTGAGACTGCCACCGAGAGAGTTAAAAAATTAATGACAAACCATCAATTAAGGTCTGGTTCTACCTGTCTTCAATCTGCTTCTAAATAATTTAGTACATGTTAAATCGAATGAATCGACCCCTGCGACGATGAATGATTGTGATTTAGTAAATTATCACATACTGTGAAGTATTCGATTGAAAAATTTGAAGCTACGAACTTCGCTAACGATAAGTACCAAACATAATCAGCTGTACGTCGCAGAGGTAAGCAGAAGCATCGCTGATGGAACGGTGTTGTCCGCACATAATGAAAATCTGGAGCTGTGTTCAACATATAACCGCAAGTAATAATCTAAAGTAAAATAGGATCTCACTCACGTGGTCCTGGTTGTTTTTCATCGGTAATCCATCGGCATTCTGTACGTACACAAAACCTTCTTGTGATATCAACAGGTGGCCAATACTTGTTTCGATCTTGTTGTAAGACCGTCTTGCGGGACCCGTCTGTACGAGTGCGTTGAACGGAAAACCAATTCGAAGGTGTCTAACCGTGTAACTGCAGCCTATGATCTGCTAAATTCTAAATAGTTACCAATTTAGCCTGGAGCAATATAGAACACAGTAAGGGTTTTGCGACCCGAGTAAGCTGTGTATTGATCAGCTTCTTTACGGATGTTGCTATCGCTGGATAAGGGTACGATTCAATGAAGTTTTAACGTGCCCTATGGTTCTTTTGTGGTACTTTCGCAGGTTTCTGTCCGCTTGGATCTTGTAAATTGCCGCGCCTTCAAAGAGACGGTCGTTTTACTTATTTGCGAGCGCAATTTGGAATATAAATTACAATAGAAACGATGCTTCGCTTTCTATCTATCCCATTTATTTGTTTTCTCTTCTCGTATTGCTTTTTATTATTGTTTTATTCGTCAGATGTTAATTCTGGCATTGGTAAAGGATAATATAAATCATCAAAGCTAGAACATTCTCTTACGGCCCAATTCAGGTAATCAGTATTTTGAGATATGGTTTTATAATAGATATCTTTGTTTTTGTTTGTTTTCAACTTTCTGGTTAAAAGCGGATCACAAACACTTGCTGGGATGATTACCAAAGCCTATCGTTAGTGAAGTCTATGTAGCAATTATTTTTCCTGCGACAGCTTGCTGAATCGTACGAAGCCGTATAGAAACAAACGTGTCATTTTTACACATGTGCTAGCCACAAACGTGCATGTATCACTTGACAGTAACGTAAACCTTCACGTACCTAGATACACGAATATTTCGAGAATGGAACATTGTTGCTCATATTGATGAGAACTGGAATTGCCTTCAGTATACCAAACTTTAAATCTCAAGTACAGACGTATGTGATGATACTTTAGCTCAGATATCACAACTCAGTCGCAATTGAAACATATGGACATTAATTAGACTTGTTTACCTATCGTGTGCAGGCATGGCCAGCACATCAAGATATCCCGTCTCTGTCCTAGTGCACACCTGACGTTTGAACAATTAGGAAATCACGCGGAACAATTACGAAAGCTTTAGCCACATAGTCCGTATCAAAATTCAATAGTCTTGTCATCGTTACTTCAAATTTTTCGATTAATTCTTCCAGATACATTTCTTTTTGACGTCTATATATACATATACATTCTAATTTTCATGTTTAAACGATGTTTTTGACAATAATGTTCTCACATTTCACATTGTCTCCCTGCTAACCAATATCACATAAATGATGTGTAGATATTATCTTGAAGCACGAGTTTGTACGACTGAGCGATCACTTAAATGCGCAAACACCACACGTCGTTGTCCATATTTTTCATTATCCATATTCTCATCGTCCATATATTTGTATATATGAAGCGCGTTGTCTAGCAGCTGGCCCAGAGGTGCTTTTGATGCGGACGAAATGATAAGAATTACTAAGGTACTCGTTGTTAAGATTTTTCCTTCATAAAAACTACATAAGGGAACAAAGTACTTTAGGGAACTTTGCTCACACTTCGCATGCCTTAGACAGGACTCGTCCAGGCCGGCTTTCAAATCGCACTAATATAGACGATAAAAGAAAATTAATGCCGACGCTCAAAGGCAGATTCGATCATTAAAATTGGCTTTCACTCTTTCTAAATATATTGTATAACTTCCATGATAGTCTTAATAAAAGCGCTCTTAAATTTAATGTGTGCTCGCATACACGTACACGCATACAAACACGCACACGCGTCGTATTCTTGCTACGTGCCAGAGCGAATGGACCAAAAGCAGCTGAAGTACAATGACAACTTTCGGTGTCGTTCTTCCAATCCATTTTGAAGGAGTTACAAGGACATACCAAGGATCACCAAGAAAACGCCTCTTAGACCAAAGAATGGAGTATTAGAGCCGTTCAGTTGGTTAAGCATTCCTATCATGTTCCAAGGTCAGTTTGTAATATGGATGACCAATCTAATTATACACAGTATAATGCTCGTAGATGTATTCCTATTCTATTCGAGAACTGTATGTTTTGTTCTCTGCCATTTCAGCTACGGAGCCGTGACGTGTGTCTTCATTATTAGACTTCATTGAAAAGATGGAAGCTTTCTGCGCTGCTAAGACCTCTCCCATTGTAGGTTCGTCAGCGAATTCTGGATAGACACTTTAGTCGCAGAGGCAGACAAGTTCAACAGTCAAATTGTTCTAATGAATTATTCTATATATATATATATATATATATGTATATGTATAT